AAACTAAACAATGAAAAATAAATATAGTTAAAAAACTAAAAAACACACTTTTGAAGAACATCGAACATCTAGAAATGATATTTGCAAATCTGTGAAAGTAGTAGTAAATGATCATGTACTTGGGGTTGTCCCAGAAGCCAAAAGCCTGGGCATCATTTTAGATAAGGACTTGAAATTCGAAAGCCAGGTTAATCAGTTTATTAGGCGTGGCGTGCATATTATTCGCTCAAAATTATATATGGACACCGAAATTTCCTACCCATGAAGATGAAGGCGAATTTGTGCGAATCATTAGTTTTATCTATATTCAATGATGCTGACGTTTTGTATGGTCCATGTTTGACCAACCAATTCAAGAAAAAGATACAAAAAGTTCAGAATTCCTGCCTACGGTTAATTATTGGTATTAGAAGAATAGAGAGAATATCACATAAACTGAAGGATTCCGGCTGGTTAAATATGAACGACAGAAGAGTGTTACATGCTGCAACTTTGTTTCACAAAATAATTAATAGTAAAGTGCCGTCTGACTTACACCAGAAAATTACTTTTAGAACTGATGTGCATATTAATGTAAGGTATAAAGGCCGACTAACTCCGTCATCCTTTCGCACAGAGTTCTTTAGAAGGAGTTTCAGCTACCAGATCTGTGCAATTTATAATGACATTCCCGAGCTCATGAAACGAGATGACTTCAATCATTTTAATATCAATTTCAAACGATTCTTATTATCTTCAAACTATTAACGACCCAATAGCTACTTACCTATTACAAATCTATAAATAGTCATAATATTTTAAGATATTTGAAAATTCTTTTTGTTTATTCCTTTGCGTACTAGGCGACATTTTTGAGGTTAAGTGGAAGAGCAATTGAATGATGACTTGTCATCATGTAAATTGAACTTCGCCTTTCATCTTCTTATAATTAATGGACTGTACTTGATTAATTTGCTTTAAATGTATTAGAAGATATTAAAGACGATATTATTATTACTATTATTAGATGACAGCCATTTACCAGACTAGTGGAATGGTCCGGGGTGATTTCGTTATAGTCCGGGTAGTTATAGTGTAAAAATTTTGGTACGGTATTGAGTCCAACCTAAAATCTTCTAGCCAACTTTGTCTTAGTCTTTATTTTGAAGATTTTTGAGATATGGGTCGTCCATTTGTCGTCCCCATGAGAACAACAATCCTCAGAAGTCAAAACTTCCAAAAGTTAACAATTAAAGAAGTTTTACGATTTTGAAAGGTTTGAGGTTACATTATCTGAATATCTAAATATTTCAGAAGAAAACCTTTCCACTTTCTCCATTAAAATATGAAAAACGAAGAACTTTCGAAGGAAATCTAATAGTACGTTGACTCTTTCGAAGTGATTTACGAATGCATTAACATCAAACTTTCTGGAGTTTAGGCAGAATATCATTGGCATCACTTATAATCACTGGAATCTTTTACACACCACTGTAAAAGTTTGTCTGCCATCATAAATTATTGGCCTAGATATAGTCTGGTGATCGACAGTGTCCACAAGCGTACAGTGACACTTGTAACCGTTTCTCTAGTAGAATGAGTAAGGGGGGTATTGAAACTTTCTTTGGAAATTGTGAAGAATACTGGACATCGATTTATCAATTGATAGTCCGTTCTTGGTGTTTGCCGCGTGAAAGCGGTGTTTTAAACGATATTACTCAGTGGCGTTCGTTTTTAGAGGATTAGTATTAGTTTTTTGACTTAGTGGAGTTTTCTTCCGGAAAATGATGATCAAAAATGCCATGAAGTTGTTGATGGGTATGTGAATCCTAATGAAAATACCAGTTATATTTCAAGGATTTATTCGTGAGATTCTCCAACACCCGTTTTGGGCACAATGGGCTTCATCAAGAAATGATAATGAAGACTATTAGGTGGAACAAACTGTTTTGGATATTGTTTGGGGACTACAACATATCAAAATGTTGCAATTTGGTGAATCGAATTCGTAATAACTTTGAAAAATCTTTTTTAGAGAGATATATCATCGCATACACCTGCGACTGAAGAAAACCCCACAGGAAATAGTCTAACTGGATCAAATCGTATGTAATTTGACAGATGTAGCTTCAACAAGATGGCCGTCGTCAATTGTCAAAGTTCGGAACTGAACTGTAAGAAAGGCACACTTCTGGAAATATCCGATAGATGTCAGGCTATGTATTTTGTTTATCAAATATTACCGCCGCACTTGAGAATTGCTTCTTCTTACATAACGTCTTGCATAATTCTTATCAACTTGTTTGCATTGCCCTTGGTAGATAAATTTAGCTATATCTGCGTATCAACAAAACGAACTTGAGTCGCAGTTGATAAACATTCTTTTAACATCAATTCATCAAATAAATATGTACTGACAAATTGGATGATCTTTTTTGTTGCTTTTGTTTGATAATGCCTATCATGGAAAATATATTGACTTGACTGCGGTCAGTTTTTTAATCATAAACAATCGACATTTGCCAATAATTCAACAAATATTCCAACCAGCGTGCCTCCCGTGGGGGGTAAACGTGTCGCGTTCACATGTTTCTCCGTACTGGTTTATTTTCGGAGGCTGAAATTTTGTATGTATACATTCTGTAGTGTATTTAGTATCAGCACTGCACCCGTGCAGAGCCGAGGCGGTTCGTTAGTGCCACATAAACACAAATTTTCTGTATGTGGACTTCCCAATAATTGATTTTATTTATCAATCAGAGAAAGAAGTGAGAATCGCTCGGAGAATAAACAAAGTACACAAAATAAGACTCCGCTGTAGTTCGAGTTACTTTCCATACAGATAACCTCGGGATTTTCAGAATTACCAATCAGTAATCGCTGCAATAATTCAAAAAATTATCGTAATGAAAATGATACGAGTAAGTTTACATTTGAAATACCAAAAACTTGACTTGTCATAGTAATATGAGACAATAGATATGAAAAGTATTAATTTCGCTCAGGTATTAAGTATTAGAATCTGTGAGAGAATATCTGAACAGCTCAAAAGTACAATTTTGTTCACATCATACTAATTTGCATTAACAAAATGCATACAATGTGGCCCCTTTCATAGTGGAAGCACCGATTGCATTAAGTAGACATTAAAAAAAATTCCTAGAACAACAAATTCCATAAATGACTCGTCGTGTTCACTGCGAAGTTTTATTATTTTTCAATGTGAAAAATCTAAGGAAATGTTATGGTTTTTGTTTCACGTCTAGTGTTTCACATAAAGTGATCATGAATTACTACAAAATTAACAAGTTATCAATCACACAATCAAATGGTTCACGCCAAAATTTCAATGGCATGGGTTCGTCATCAAAAAGGTTATGAAGGAACTGAATTGAAAAAACAGGTTTTGGTTAATCACTGTTCAGAATTTCTCAGAAAATATGTAAACAGCAGACACATGCTGACACTTGTTCTGGCTTATCAGCTGTCATCAGTACGGTATAGCCAAGTGCGAGGTTAGCCACAGAAACAACCCAAATACACTGGGTCGTCAACAAAAGCCAGCCGCACTTTGTGGGTTCGGTCAGGTTACCTCGAGTTAGAGATAACTAAGAAAGTGGATTTGATGTAATTAAAAGCAGGGAAAATTCATGGACCAAGCACTCTGAAAATATGCAAACCCCAGACACATATCGACACGTGTTTCACTCAAATCGAGCGCCTGTTAGTCGGTGGTTTAAGCCCCAGGCTGAACGATCGATTTTCATTTGCTATCGTCCTTAGTCCTTATCTCGCACAAGTTTCGACTTCTGAGGGTTGTCATTCATAGGGGTACGACAGCTGGTTAACGGAAACACAGATTTTAAACAGATTTTTTTGGTAGCCAAGAGCAAGGTAAGGCAACAATTGTTTCGATTTCTGGTGCGGCTTGATGAAAAATGAATCTTTTCAATTCTTTATCAAAAATGGATGAAAAATTATCTCACATTTGAAGAATACAGATATCTATATTTCCGTTTTTATGAGTAAAATTACTGTTGGTGAATATTTTCATTTCGATGATTGAGATATATGTACTCGAATACTATCTCAGTAACCTCGTTGAAGAAACGCTATAAATTATTCACTGTTCAAGAAATGAGACTAACCGTTTGAGTTTCCATAAATTCTCTCACATCAAACGCCGAAGCATGCAGGTATGTCTGAACCGATAACGAACTTCTCATTGAAATATATAATGAAGAACACACCAGGTTTTTTTCGTATTATACATGTCTTTCCAATAAGTAGTGAGAAAACTGTTGAGAAGTTTATCTAACGAGTTTTTGGTTTTTGATTGCCTTTCTAGTTGAATGAAATTTCACGTTTTTATTGTTTAGTTACCAACTATATTCATATTTTATGCCTTCTCCGGCCAATGCCACGCTTGACATTGAATTATATCCGTCGGATATATTATATGTCAGTCGGATATAAGTCAATGTCCAGCGTGGTATTAGCCAGAAAAGTAGTTTCGAGATTTTATTTCGAAATATTTATTTATAGATTCCAGACATGTTCACGTGAAGAGCTTAATTTTTTTTGAGAACATGGCTAAATATATCACCAGGAATGTACTTGGTGTTAAATCGTTTCCTGAAGTCAGTACATAAAAGGATATCAACTAATAGTTCACATTGACTGCAATCTTGAATTTCATTTCTATTTAAAAGCTTCTTGAAAAAAATAACTTCTGACACTTTTTCTTCATTGTGATATCCCGTCACAAACAGAACACATTCATAAAATCAATAGAAGAGACCCCAAAACTGAGCCCTGTGGAACACCACGGGGGATTTTCTACATCGACAATTTCATATCATTTTCCAAAGCACACTGAATACTATTACCCAAGTAGGATTTGTAGAATTTCAAAGAAAAGCCACGTATACTCAATGTCTCTCCATTCGAAATAATAATAATGATTAGTATTATCGTTGAATATTTCCCAATTGTGACATACCTACTCTTGATCTTTCCAGAATCTCCAAGGAAGTATGTGGAGAACGAAGTGACCATCCACTACAAAACCCCGGTACGTCAAGAAATCAAAGAGTTCTTAAGCGAAGACGAATTAGCTCACCGTCAGGCGGAAGCAATGAAGAGAATCTACGAAGAAGAAAGGCAGAGGAAACATCTACAGGTTAGCAAGTCACTTCAAGTAAGTTTCTGTCGATAGGTTTCAGGTCGGGCCGGTGTGTCGGCAGCAGCTTGCAAATAACACCAAGGGCAGTGAGCTAGAGCTGGTTTCTCAACTAACATGTACAGGGGGAGGTAAACGGGCTGTTACAGTAAATTTGATGAACAGAAGAACCGGCTACGTGAAGTGGGTTTGGTCTGTGGGGTTCAGGTGTGGTCCATACGTAGACAGCAGCTTTCATTGATAATGAATGTGTGTTATATTTGTGTGGATATTTTAACTGTCAAATATCTGTTGATTGAAGATTCATGGCTGAATAACAACTTTTTTCTCAATAGGAACTTCGAGATATGCACTCCAGAAGACACACCGACAACTTCATTCCTTCTCAAAAGTCTCCAATCTCTCTTAACCGATACGACGATTTCGATGATTTAGCGCCCTCTCTTAAACTACTGCCAAAGTCGCCAGGTGAGTTTTTTACACGCTTTATATTAGCTTTACCTGTATGTATGTATGTTTGTAACTTCCAAGCTCGGGATCTGCATTGACAGAATTATCGGCATTATTGCTTGATCTATTCGCGGGCAGATGGCGCTCTACGTAACCTCCTTGATATATCTTGATCTATTCGCGGACAGATGGCGCTGTACTTAACCTCCTTGATAGGTTGTTCAAAATAAAATCAAAATAAAAAACATATTTTAGGAATTCTAAGTGTTAGTGAAATTTTGCACTACAGATGAAATATTTAGATATTCCAATATTTTCAATTACCCCTGATTCAGTACAGAAAAAATGAAATAAAATAAAATGAAATAAAATATTTGGGATTGATATTCGACCAGTCACTGTCATGGAAAACCTATATTGAATATCTTGTCACAGTGTGTCAAAAAAGGCTAAACCTGTTGAAATGCTTGACAAATAAACAGTGGGGCGCAGATGGTAGGACATTATTGACTTTATATAGAACTTTGATAAGGTCAAAATTAGACTACGGCTGCATATGCTACTCGTCTGCTTCCGAGAGCACTCTCAAAGCTCTGGATACAATGCATAATAACGCACTCAGAATCATCTCTGGAGCATTTATTACAAGCCCGGTTGACAGCGTACTCTGTGAACTTGGAGAGTTACCTTTAAAGCTTAGAAGACATGAACTGACACTATTATATGTAGCTAGGCGACAAGACCATCAACTTCGACAAACCTTCATCGTCCCAGTCACTCCCACTACAAAAGCAAATATTCCATTTCATGAACGAAAAATGATTTCCCTCAACCTCATACAGACAGAATTCTCCAAAATACCAAGGAATTCTATGTTATAACCGTTTCAATAGGATCTTTGGTGGAATAGTCCAGTCATTATAGTAAGTTCACCTCGGAATTCGAGATACCCAGCTGTAAGTCTGTAAATACTTGTATATTGACACCCTAAAAGTTGTCTCAAAACCTACATATGGTAGGGTGTAAGCAACAATTACATTTCAAGGTCAAAGGTCACAAAAATCGGTTTTTTGCGCTTTTTTTGGAAATATCTCATTTCCTATGGGTTTTTTGCTATTTGTATTTATTATCAATATTGTAGAATACAAAATTCTCTACAAATTTTGTTTAAAAAAATTTTTTATACGGTGAACCGTTTTCGAGATANTTTTTAAACAAAATTTGTAGAGAATTTTGTATTCTACAATATTGATAATAAATACAAATAGCAAAAAACCCATAGGAAATGAGATATTTCCAAAAAAAGCGCAAAAAACCGATTTTTGTGACCTTTGACCTTGAAATTTAATAGTTGCTTACACCCTACCATATGTAGGTTTTGAGACAACTTTAAGGGTGTCAATATACAAGTATTTACATACTCACAGCTGGGTATCTCGAATTCCGAGATTCTTACCTAATTTAAGCTTAAATGACTGGATTAAAATAAAAAATTGTAATACCTTCAAAACAACATTATTCAATTACCTTAATGAAAATACTTTTTATACAATAGAGGAGTACCTCATTGTTTGATGCACTGTCTGTGAGTTTTTCATATTTTCTTGTGAGATCTATAATGTTTTTATAATTTGTAATACTATAATATGTTTTGACTAGTCTGATAAGTTTTATACCATCGTGTAAAAAACTTCAGTGATGAATAAATTATCTATATCTGTATCAGTAATTTCAAGTGATTTTATACTTTCACAACGTCAAATGTATTAAATTTGAATATCTGTTTTGTAATGTTCCAATTCGTTGATTTCATAAGTTTATTTTATAAGTAATATTTATGTAGGTACTATTATTTCTTTTTCTGGAAGCATTTTTTTTCAGATCCACGTCTCTGTGCTCGAGCCCTGTACAACTTTGTTGGCCAGACTGCAAGAGAGTTAACTTTCAGAAAAGGGGACATAATCTACATAAGAAGACAGATCGACAAAAACTGGTACGAAGGAGAATTAAATGCCATGGTCGGTCTGTGTCCTACCAACTATGTTGAGGTAAAATACAAAGTTTTTCGGAATAAATATTGAAGATGATTTCTTAATTACATTCAACATCATAATTCATAACTGGATTTTCTAGATACTTCATTAGTCCATTAAAAACACTATAATATAAAATACTATATATGTTCCTGCGTTATCATCATCAGGAGACAATATTTCGTTCGTAGGAAAAAAGATTCAATATGTTCAGAAGTTACAATTCTACCTATAAAATTCTTCAACAGTTTCCACAGGGCTGAAGCCAATAAATTTTGCAGGTTTCCTCTTACAAACACAATGCCAGAAATGAATATTAATAACAACATAAGTATAAAATGCATAAAATGTAAATGATTGAATTAAAATATAAACTATATATATTTATAAAACAATGAGATTGGAACCTTTGGTGTGAAAGTTGAATAACTTTTTTTGAGATCAATTGCCCTAACACCAAACTGATATTTTTGCACCCGACGCGCGCTTTTCCAACAAAGTTAGCATCCTCAGGAGATGAAAATTGATACCTAGTCTAGTCTGGTTAATCCTTATACACTAAAATTTGTTACCTGAGGTTGTATACCTGAAGTCCAATATGGAATTTCTCGGTAATTAACTACCTGCAAGTTCTTAGTAATTATTCTCTTCCTAACAGAAGATTAAAAAGCGGGCTAAACGAGATGGGTCCCTTATCGCCATTCATGCTGTTCTTACATTTTGCTATTTCTAGACTCTCACATGCATCGAGTAGCCTGGTGTCATGCACATGCTTGATCAGTTTCAGATTGTTTTCACCAATTCTGTGGTCCTTGTCTAGAGCATGTTGGGCGACACTGGATTTTAATATCCTTTCGTATTTCATGTGTGCACAATGCTCCTTGAAGCGGATTTTAACCGCTCGTCGGCTCTGGCCGATGTATTTGCTATTGCAATCTTGACAACTGATTTCGTAAATCCCCGACCTTTCTGTGTTTTCTAGCCTATCTTTTGGATTACCAAGAAGCTGTTGCAATTTATAAGAAGTTTTATATGCAACTTTCATGTTTACTTTATCGAATATCTGTTGAAGCCCTCTCATGTATGGGGGTTCATATGGGATTACTATAAACTTGCTATTACTCTCCTCTTTTTGAAAAATCGAAGATTTACGAAGTGCTTCCCTAAACTTGCATTTTCTAATTATCTCGTCAACTATATCTGGGTTAAAACCGGTTGCTTCAGCTACATACCGAATCACTCTCTTTTCATTGTCGATATATCGATTTCTTGTTCTTACATCATATCATAAGTAAAGATCAATTTGGGTTCCAGGCCGGAAAAAGCACTCATGATGAAATTTTTTCTTTTCTGTACGATTTATTCAGAAATAAATGCTGGTGATGCAGCCGCAGCAGTTTTCTTCGATTTCTCTGAAGAATTCGATTGCGTTAATCACAATATACTGCTTAGGAAACTCAATCGTTATGGGTTCAAGGGCACAACTTATCAATGGTTTGAATCATATCTCACAGGACGAGATAAAATGGTCCGAACAACAGAAATCTCAGAAAGAAGGGCAATCGATAGTGGTGAACCACAGGGATCCGTGCTGGGACCTGTTCTCTTTCTTTTATATGTAAATGATTGGACGAAGATCAACATATGGGGCAGCTTTACACTTTTCGTAGATGACACCACCATCTTGTGGAAAGAGAAAAATGAAATAGAACTACATAAAATAATAACTTCTGACTTGGAAAAAATAAAAATGTGGTGTGACGCTAATTTGCTTTCTCTGAATGTTACTAAAACAAATATAATATCATTCAAATGCGTGCTTGACGAACTTCCTGTGAACGGTGGTGTCCTGCAAAATAAATCTAACACAAAATTTTTAGGTGTATTGATTGATCATAGGCTTAAGTTTGATAAACACGTCCGACAGCTCAGAAGTAAAATTTCCTCTGGGTGTTATGCAGTGAGGGTAGTTTCTAAGGAGTTGAATTTCAGTACTGCAAAAACGGCCTACTATGCATTAATTGACTCCCAAATTCGATATGGGATACCTTTTTGGGGAGCATGTTGTCCAACCCTCTTGTCTTCTATATTGATTATACAGAAAAGAACTGTAAGATACCTCTGTAAGGTAAAACCAAGAGACTCTTGCAGAGAACTCTTTATTAATAATCAAATATTAACTGTCATTGCACTTCTCATCTTGGAGACAGTATGCTTGGTGAATAAACACAAATAAAGATATAATGTAGCGACCTTACCCTATTCAATTCGAAATACGGAGTTTAGCCTCAGGCTCCCAATTCTCACCTCTAACTCACTCGAAGATTCAATATTTTACAATGGTGCTAAAATTTACATTCATCTCCCAGTCGATGTAAGGTCCTCTAATTTGACAGGCAAGCGTTTTAGAAAGGCTGTAAAGAAATTTTTAGTAGATAAGCCCTATTACAGTCTACAAGAATACTTTGTAGACACCTTTTAGCATTTTTATTGTATATGTTATGCTTTGACCATGTATCATGTGTGGATTTTAGACGAAAAGTTGTATTATAACTTGATTATTTTTTAAGTGTATTCGCTAAATTTTTTTTATTATCTTTTTAACTTGATTTTCATTTATATTGATTAGTTATATTTAATTGTCCGTATTGCTTAAGCTTATGTTCGTATTTCACCAGTTGAACAAAATTTCTTTATTATCTACTATGACTTGCGATTTTACTTATATTAAAATAAGTTATATGAATTGTCCTATTGCTCAAGCTTTGTTAACAAGTTGCCCTTAAGACAATAAAGCATATTTATTATTATTATTATCATGGATAGGTGTCACTAATGCTTCCTTCCATAAGTCTGGAAACGTATTTGATTTTTATTGTAGGTTGTAGGTCATAATAGGCTTTATCACTAAATAGTTTTGTACATTTCTTCATTTGAAATCATGCTGGAACCTATTGTGATACTATGACTGTTGAACAAAACGTAGTTTCAATTTTGAGCGTTTTTTACTTCCAGATCATCCCCTTCGAAGGAAGCAAACCGACTCCCCGTAAGGCCCACGAAGGCAAGGCTCGGGCAAAGTACAATTTCGTGGCCCAAACTCATCTGGAATTGTCCCTTGCTAGAGGTGAATTGGTTACCATAACCCGAAAAGTCGACGACAATTGGTTCGAAGGAAAAATCGGTGGAAGAAAAGGTAATTATTATTTGAATCGAAAACGGTGTATTTTTAGAAGACATCAATTTTTGAGTCCTGGCTTTCTACTTCTTAATCTTTATACACAATATAAGAATAATAATAATGGTAATAATACTCCCTCATTCGTCATAAAAAACCAATCAAAACGAATGGTGTGGTGTTGCAGGTTTTTCCGGGTTTTCCTGCAGCTGAAAAAGTAAATGCGCCACTGGAATCAATAAAGTGGCCCAGGAGCGCGAATTAATTTTAATTGTTGTTTTTATTTTTATCATTGAAACAGATCAATGGGAAAAAGGAAACAGCTTCCAATATAAACGTGAATAGGCAGAGTATCAGCCAAGGCTGTTTTTTAACCCAGCCTGGGAAACGCAATAATTAAATAACAATAACAAAAGAAGTTGACAGTGATACTGAGATTTGTCATCTCAGATCGATAAGTTAGTTTATGCAACCGCTGTAGAGCATTCCTTTTGAATTACCAAGGTCAGGATCGGACAAGGAACTAGACAGTTGAGTAGGTTAGGTTAGGTCTAAATTAAGTGGGTCTGTTTGACCCTCAACCGCAACCCGCGAGGGTTTATTGTGTCTCACACCCATTCACACTTTACCATACAAACCCAGCTTCTTAACGAAGCCGATTAGTTAGTATGGTGAGTGGTATTTCAGGACAGATGGCAGTAATAATTGCTCAATCACAAAATACTTTCAGTATTTTGTGATTGAGTCCAGTAATAAGGCGCTATGTTCAATTTGTAATGAAACCATAGTTGTTCTCAAAGACTATAACATTAAACGACACTATGAATCGAAACATCTTCAAAGTTACTCCAAGTATACAGGAAGTTTGCGGAAGAAAAAATTTGAAGCTTTGAAACGCGGACTCAAATCGCAGCAATCTTTGTTTACCAAAGCGAATACTGAACAAGAGTCTGAAACTCGCGGCAGCTTTCGTGTGGCTCTTGAAATCGGAAAACGTGGCAAACCATTCACCGATGGAGAAATGATAAAAGAATGCTTGATTGCAGTAGCCGAAGAAATATGCCCCGAAAAGGTAAATTTATTTAAAAGTGTCAGTTTGTCAGCAAACACCGTGGCTCGGAGGGTGCAAGACATCGCTGAAAATATATCATCTCAACTGTCTGACAAAAATGGACATCATGAGTGGTTTTCTCTAGCATTGGATGAGTCAACGAATGTGTCAGATACTGCTCAGGTGTTGATTTTTATTCGCGGAGTAGATAAAAGCTATGAAGTGTATGAAGAACTTCTTTATATTGATAGTATTCACGGCACGACAACTGGGGTAGATATTTTTAAGGGAGTTGAAAATGCCATTAATAGAAAGAACCTTCGATGGAGAAATTTGAAATCTATATCAACTGACAAAAGGCAAAAATATGTATGGTGAAAATAAAGGAGTGGTTGCACTTGTGTCAAAGGCTGTAGAAAATGATAGTGGTTCAAAACCATTAGTCTTAGGTACATTGTATCATTCATCAACAGTCCTTGTGCGGAAAATGTTTGGATATGTCTGAAGTTCTAAAACAAGTCATACCAGTTGTTAACTTCATCAAATCCACTGGGCAGAATCACCGACAATTCCGCGAGTTTATTCAATAGATTGGAGAAAATGATTTACCATATCATACTGCCGTACGCTGGCTTAGTTGCGGAAAAGTCCTTAAGCGCTTTTTTGAACTTCGGGAAGAGATCGAAATTTTTTTAAATGAGAAGCAGCGCCCTTTTGCCGATTTAGAAAATAGTGAATGGATGTGGAAGTTAGCCTTCTATGTCGATTTGACAAATCATATGAACGAACTGAATTTTGAGATTGCAAGGAGAAAATCAGCTTCTCCCTGATTTATACACCAATATCAAATCCTTCAGGCAGAAAATAATACTATTTCAATCGCAATTACGTAAAACATGTTTCATACATTTTGAAACATGTGAAATATTCAGCCACACTACAGAGACTGAATTTCCCGTCAATTTTGCAATCTAAACTTTGAGTGCTTTGAAGATAAATTTTGATACTTGTTTTTCAGATTTTGATGTCATTGCGAATGAAATTAAGCTTTTTAAAAATCCTTTTGATTCTGACATTGAAACCCTCTCTTCGGAAGTCCAAATGGAAACTATTGATTTACGGTGCAGTGACATGCTTAAGAACAAATATCAAAATTCATCTTTGTTGGAATTTAATGAGAGTCTTCCACTGGAACAATTTGATAATTTGCATAAATTTGCTCGTGGGTTGTTTTATATTTTTGGTACTACTTACTCGTGTGAGAAAACGTTTTCCAAGATGAAGTACACAAAGAATGTTTACAGATCTCAATTAACCGATGAGCATCTTAAATCTCTTTTGATTATAATTGGTACAAGTAAAATTGATCCATAACTACAAAGTATTGTCGGTGGAAAATCACAATTACATAAATCTTATTAGTGTTTTTGTTTTACTGTGATTCATTTCAATTATTTTGTTAGTCATTAATATGCTTGAACTTAGATACTTCAGTTGTGTTTTCTTTGTCATCATTTCTGTCGTTAATTTTTACCTTGCAAGTAAATAAAACCGAATAATTATCATTCTGTGTTTTCTTCTTCAACTTATCACAGCAATAGTAACAACAATTAGATAATCATTGGCTGTCGCGGGCCAGATTGATGACAGTAAATCATTGGCTGTCGCGGGCCGGATTGATGACACTGGCGGGCCGGATTTGGCCCGCGGGCCGTAGTTTGGAGACCCCTGTTCTAGTTGATTATCATCTGCAGCATCACTACTTTTGCAGGTATTTTCCCAGCCAACTACGTGGAAGTCCTGATTGATCCCCAAACGCCTCCCGCTCCCAGTGCAAAACCAGTGGCGGCACCGGCTGCCCATTCTCTCCTTCTGAACGGTTCTTCAGGCGGAAAAGAATCCATGGGCTCCCACTGTTACACCCCCACGCTGCCCAACGCACAGCTGACCACGAGTTACCATGCCAAGCCCGTCCAAGTAACCAGCAGCCAGTCTTACGGATCTTTGAGCAGGAAAAATCTGCCCATGAGTCAGGCGCTGCATATCGAGACGCAGAGTGATCCCATTCCGTAAGTAAAGCCTCTTTTTCGCACAAGTTACGACTTTTGAGGGTTGTCGATCGTAGTGGGTGAGGGCTGGTTAACTGAAAACTTATTTTTAAGCGATTTTTTGAAGTCAACAGACATACATTTGAAGAATTTTCTTGGTTTCACTCTTTCAAAGACCTCCCTATTCAAATACCTCATGGTGCAAGTCTCAAAACAGGAACCCTGGAGTTTGTGATACACAACTGTACAAGTTTATACGATCTAACCTGAACACCAAAGTAAGCATTCCGCTCCTACGAAAACCTGACGGTTCCTTGTGTTCTACAGACATCGAATCAGCAGATATTTTGGCCGATTCTTTCACAAGCTCCTTCACGGTCGAGCCTCGAGATGACCAGTTACCAAAAATTATAGCAGAACGACTACGTGATAATCTGACTAATGTGTCGTTTACTTCGGAAAATATTAAAAATCATTTATTGAACACTAAATCGAATTCATCTTCTGGTTTGGATGGAATGAGCCCCTTTTTTCTCAAAAAGTTTGCCGAAACTCTCTGCTCTCCGTTGTCAGCAATTATGTCAGTCTCTTTCGCAAAATCTCGCATCCCACGGGCTTGGAAGAAGGCATCTGTCACCTCTATTTTCAAAACAGGCGATAAACTCAATCCAATTAACTACAGGTCCATTAATCTTTTATCCGTGCCTTCCAAAGTAATGGAATCCATCATCGTAGATATGTCAGAATTTTTAACAAAAAACGCAATCATACCAACAGAAAAACATGGTTTCGTCAAAGGTAGATCAACCACCAGCAATCTACTACAATGCATGAACATTTGGACGACAGCTTACGATAGGAAAATACCGACAGATATCGTTTATCTTGACTTTGCCAAGGCTTTCGACAGGGTCCCAGTGAGGAGGCTAATGCACAAACTTGACACACACGGTATTCGAGGCCAACTAAACCTATGGATAGAAAATTACATGACGGATAGAACTTTCTCGGTCAAAGTGGGTCATTCTTTTTCTTCGCATAGACAAGTCACAAGTGGAGTTCCCCAGGGATCTGATCTTGGCCCGCTGCTCTTCGTTGTTTATGCAAGTGATCTTGCTCTTCACATAAAGTCCAGCAAGTCGTTTCATGACGATGATACTGAACTGTATGGAAATGCCTCAGTCGAACATTATTACCTTCAAGAAGACCTCAACTCGATTAGTCAGGGGTGCGAGAATTGGCTTCTACTTCTTAACGTCGACAAATGCGTCTTACTCCATCAAGGAAAGAACAATCCACTACATCCGTACACAATAAGCGACCAATCGTTACGTACAGTGTCCTCACATGTAGCCTGGGAGTGACTACTAATACCGACTTAACTTGGTCCGAACATATAATATCCACATGCAAAAGCGCAAACACACTGATTTACCTCATCCGCAAAACGTTCCTCCATCTATCATATTCCATAAAGTTCCATAAAACTACAAAACCTACGTTCGTCCAATCATGGAGTATGCAGGTCCAGTGTGGTGTCCTGTTCTGGTGCGCGACTTGTTGGAAAATATACAGCGTCGAACCACACGTATGACTTTTGGTGAAGTGTGTCCAACCTATCCCGAAAGACTGAGGATGGCACAACTGCTAGCTTTTGAACAACGTCTAGTCCGTGGAGACGTCATCATATATTTCCGTATAGCTAAGTATAACTATGCTAATCAGAAAGAACTTTTTGTTTTCAACAATGATTCGCGGTTACGTGGTCACACACCCAAATCAAAGGAAAGGAAAAATTCGCAACGAGGCAGAGATATTTTTTGGTGAATCGTATTTTCGAAACATGGAATAACTTACCCAACGATGTTATGAATTCCAACTCAGTAAACAGTTTCAAAAACAAACTAGACATTTGCTTATTTGCTTAATCGCCTCTATCCATAACTTGTTGATATCGTTTTTAGGCTCACATAGGACTTTGTCCACAGCCTTTATTTATATGTAATAATAATATTCCGTTATTCATATGTGATCTTCAAGAATAATTCTCATGTAATCTTCTTGCAACTTTTTTGTAACGTTTTTCGAATGATACAAAGCTTGTTTTGAAATTTAATAATAAGTAAAAGGCTATTTCTTCATAAGGTCATCATGTATCTCACTTCGAATGATTCGTTTGGTGGAAACACATCTCTTGGAATATATCTCCTTTATACTGAATTCGTGTATCACTTCCTCGTGTTTTATTTCCCTTTGGAAACATGCACTTGTGATTCCCTTGGCCAAGTGTAACTCTCCGACACATTACTCTGATCTTAGGCCCATTAGTATTTACCTTACCTATCTAAAACGTTTGAACTGATTCTCAAAGATCAATTGATTGAATTCATTACTTCGTACAATATCATAACTAGCGTTCAGTCTGGGTTTCGTTCTCAACATAGTACGACTTCCACACTCCTCTCCATAACGGATGATATTTTCAAAGCAACCGATAAAAATTATGTTACATGTCTAGTTTTATTAGACTTCAGTAAAGCTTTTGATACCTTAGACCGCAGTCTTTTATGCAATAAACTGAATCACTTTGGTTTGGATAAATGTGCCGTAGATCTTATTGAAAGCTGAAAGCTTTTTGGAACACCGAACTCAGTGTATCAGTCTTGATCACTTAAAATCTGCAGTTCTGAACACCAAATTTGGAGTTCCACAAGGTTTCATTCTTGGACCTCTCTTATTTAACTTCTATATCTCAGATTTTTACAAATGTATTGAATTTTGCAATGTCCATCACTACCCTGATGACACTCAAATTCACTTATCTTTTCCAGAAGGCAACCTGGAACACAAGAACTAATAAATACAGATCTCAATTCACTGTATAACGTCTCGTGCGCACATAACTTGAAATTGAATGCTAAAAAATCATCATATATGTTATTTGGATCCAAATATAAAAGGAGCCTGTTTTCCAACCTCATCAAGATCCACATAAATGATGTTGCCTTACCTTTCACTTCGAATGCAAAAACTTGGGTTTATGGATTGACTCCGATTTGAGATTTTCTAAACATATCAGTCATCTTTGTAAAACATCTTATAACATTCTCAGACAAATTTTTCCCAATAGAGATATTCGTTCTACACAACTCAAACTTGAGCTTTGCGAAACTTCAATTGTTTCTAAATTATCATATTGCGATTGCATATATGGACCTGCACTTACTCAATACGACTCTCTTCGCCTACAAAGAATTCAAAACTCTTGTTTGAGATTTTCCTCCGGTATACGTAAATTTGGTCACATCAGTAGTAGGTTTGATGACTCCGGCTTGAAAAACTACGCACTCTACATATCCTCACAAATACACATAAATTACTATTAACAAATAAACCTGATTATTTATATAATAGACCTGTTAGTTTTTCCCAAACTAACAACTATTATACTCGAAATGGCTCTGTCTTGGTCATTCCCAAACACAACTCGGCACTTTTTACTCGTTCATTTTCGGTTACTGTTCTCTGTTCATAAAAAGAGATGTTCATTTGTGGCTGAAAATAAATAAACTCATCTAAGCTAGAGGAATATCAAAGACAGAAAACTTATAACGAGTTATTTTCTTTTGCAGGTACCGAGCCTTGTACAAATACAATCCTCAGAACGACGACGAACTAGAGCTACTAGAGGGCGACACGGTCTACGTCCTGGAAAAATGCGATGATGGTTGGTACGTGGGATCCAGCAATAGAACAGGAGCGTTCGGTACTTTTCCAGGCAACTACGTGGAAAAAATATAGCAGAAGATATCTCTTCATCTCTTATAGACATAAGAGCCGATTAAAAAATTGGTGCCTCAGTTGGAAAATCAACTGCCACTTCGCGAGAATTATATCCTATCAATGCACAATTTGACCAGAAATAGTCGCTTGAGATTGAGGACAATTGATACTCCAGAGGAGTTGGATGTCAGAGGAATTGTTATTGCATGTTTCAGATTCGTGGAAAATTGGAAGGAAATACTTTTGAGGAATCGATAGTGGAGAAAACACAGTAAAGTTGTGCAACAAAGCTGAAGATGACAACTGACTCTCCTCTCTAATTCTTCTGGAGTGTCGACCAACTGTCATGACGTTTCGCAAAATACTTGAAAATTCAATACAACAAGGCTAACTAAATGTCATTGCCATAATATAACAGCCAATAATTAAAAATACCAGTGTACGTGTTTTGAAACCAGTTTTAGCTACTAACTTGGGCTTGTAGATAATATTTTAAATAACCTAAAAATAGTTCTGTAAGCGTTCTAGTCATTAGCCAAATGATAATTTCTAGGTTAAGTAATAGCGTAGGTCATGTACGATATTTTATTTGCACCAAAAATATTCGATATAGTCTTAACGTGTTCTTCCATAATGTTCAATTAGTCGGCTGTACATATAAGAGAATGTCGAAAGGCTTCCGGAAAACGCAATTTTCCAGATATTTTTGGATTAATGGCATATCACGATGTACCTCCTGTAGATCGTTTTTCCTGTTTTAGTAACCCCTCGAGGAGTGCCTTCTTGACCCGTAGTCGATTATCTGACAATAAACTGTCGACGTAGGAGTAAAATCTATGAATTTAGGATCGTCGCTGTTTTTGTCTGTTGTTATTGTTTCCAGACTAATACTGATTTATATTTACACTGTTAGATAAAAACTATATTATTAGCTTCACCAGAGAGCCTGATGTCACCTTTGTTTGTAACATTTTTGTTTTTCAATAAAATATTTAACGTTGAACGATTCTCATTTGTTGTATTTGGCGGTGATGATGGTATTTTGGAAAAAATTGGCGATATTGTTCCCTTAGGTTTCGTTTTGGGGCTGTTTGTATTTTGTTGTTCTTCTTGACAAGAAAAATATATGTAATATAATATGAGTACAGCATGACTCACGGTCGATAGTAGGTTAGACGTTTCTGGAAAACGCAAAGCATGACTTTTCTGAAAATTTCACCTCTCACATTTCCTTACCTGTACTATCGATCTAAAATATTTTCAGCATTGCGGCGTTGCCACTTCCATCAAAAAGTCCTAGCAGCTTTTTTTTATGGAACACCCCGTATATTAGTACATTTTTGGAATCGTTTTAGTATTTCAATACTTTTTTGTTAATACCTATCTCTATCTGTTTTCGAGATAAAAAATAAATTGTGCTAAATATGGTCCAAAACATAGCCTTAATTGAAATTAAGTACATCAGTACTCTCAATTCATGAAAAGTTGATATTTTGATGATAGTTTGGACAAACTCGAAATATTCGAATAACACCAAGAAATCGACTCCATATCATACAGGGCGTGCTAAAATTACTATTATTTCCATTGTGCATAAAAGTAGTCAAAAGTTCATTTTTTCAAATGAACCCCCTGTATATTACTCGGTAAATTGAAAGATTGTGAAAAATGCTTCAAAATGATATATCATGACCCTATACCTAAATCGTCGCTTCTTCTAGAAACATTATTTTTTTATAATTTGGATTTAGGTAGCAGTGGAATTATCAAGCTTATAGCAGTTCGGTTAGTTTTATAAGTAATTTACAAAGAGTTATCGATGGTGTTTCGAACACCAACACCAATGAACGAGAGGAAGTTTGTAAGGTTACAAACCTTAACTATGGCTCCATGTTAAAAGCGCCTTCAACATTACCAAAACCTGTTACTTCAAATGAGGACAATACTGTAAACGTTTTGGCATATTTTTATGCATATCCAGAAGCTTCCATTCGCAGTGCAGAAAAAGATTTAAGTGTATCACATGCTTCAGTACAACAAATTTTGAAAAATCACGGAATGCATCCGTATAAATTTACCAAAGTTCAAGCTCTAAAAGCAGAAGACTTCGAACGTAGAATGCATTTTTGTGAATCCCTTTTGATTCATACACAGGAAGATCGGGAATTTTTGTCAAAAATAATTTGGAGCGACGAATTAAAATTTACAAGGGATGGTATTTTCAATAGAAAGAATAAACATTTTTGGGCTGATCATAATCCTCATGTTACAAAAGAAATGGGTTTTCAAGAAAAATTTGACTGTTTTCTGTATTCTGAAAAACAATAAAACTACCTTTTTTATTTATGAAGACACACTGAATGCAGAGAGGTATCTCCAAATATTAAGGACGATTGTAACCGATTTTCTTGAAAATTTGCCTTTAGAGGAATATAGGAATTCGTGATTTCAACTGAACGGAGCGCCAGCTCATTCCACCCAGGAAGTTTCCAGGAAACTTGACGAACTCTTCGACAATCGTTGGTTTAGGCGTTTTAGGCCGTGGGATTGGTCACCGAGATCACCCGATCTCACGCCACTTGACTTTTTTATGGAGTGTTTTAAAAGAAAGGGTATACAGTACTCCAGTGCCTACCAAAGAAGAATTGAGACGGCGAATAGTGCGGAGTATTGAAGATCTGGATTCCCAGGAAATTGAAAAAGCAACCACAAGTCGCGTACAAAAAAACATTTTGAAGTGTTTAGAATGTAATGCATTTCAGCATTTATTGTGAAAATGTGATATTTTGTTTACAATTTTGTTATTTTGAATCATCCTATTCTGTTATTATCTGTACTTTCACATGTTTTAGCCCACAAAATCTTACTTTTTACCTAGAAATGACTGATTTTTGGTACAGTTGTTCCCTGGAAACTTTGAGCCATAGTCAAGGAAATTATTTTATAACCTTACAAACTTCCTCTCGTTCATTGGTGTTAATTCAGGATACATTTGTTTGATTTTTTTTACACGTTCTGACAATGATTTTATCACTTTATTAATGTGTATAATAAATAATTTCATTAGAACTTCCTTTGAATAATCGATATTGGCATCCATTTTGGAAGATGATTCGAAACACAGTCGATAACTCTTTGTTATCGACGGTGTTTATATAAGCTTGATAATTCCACTGCTACCTAAATCCAAATTCTAAAAAAAAATAATGTTTCTAGAAGAAGCGACTTTATTGAGAAAACTTGACGATTTAGGTATAGGAACATGATATATCATCTTGAAGCATTTTTCACCATCTTTCAATTTACCGAGTAATATACAGGGGGTTTCATTTGAAAAAATGAACTTTTGACTACTTTTATGCACAATGGAAATAATAGTAATTTTAGCACGCCCTGTATGATATGGAGTCGATTTCTTGATGTTATTTGAATATTTCGAGTTTGTCCAAACTATCATCAAAATATCAACTTTTCATTAATTGAGAGTACTGATGTACTTAATTTCAATTGAGGCTATGTTTTGGACCATATTTAGCACAATTTATTTTTTATCTTGAAAACAGATAGAGATAGGTGGTATAGGACATTAATAACAAAAAAGTATTAAAATACCAGAGCGATTCCAAAAATGTAATAATATACGGGGTGTTCTATTCAAAAAAATAAAGTTGCTAGGACTTTTTGATGGAAGTGGCAACGCCGCAATGCTGAAAATATTTTAGACCGATAGAACAGGTAAGGAAATGTGAGAGGTGAAGTTTTCAGAAAAATCATGCTTTGCGTTTTCTAGAAACGTCTAACCTACCATCGACCGTGAGTCACGCTGTATATCAAAATTTGGTATTTCAGTTTCAGTTATTTATGTCGTCCACTCTCCGTGATTCCGAGAAAACAATTATATCTAAATTGTTAACAGACCGAATAGTATTGGGGAGTAAATAATCCAATATAGATGATCATAAACATTGTATGACACAACATTTTTGATAAACTTTTCAGTTTGTTTTTATTAAACTCCTCCAGTTTTTAATTCAACTTGAATTGCCGATTATCAAATAGTGAACAGTGGATATTGTTCGAAATCGGTACATGACAATAGACTATTATTTTCTTCGAGAGTTTGAAAGAAGCACAAAACCATCAAATCAAAATACAGTCGATGCTAGTATATTTTTTCACTGCTGAACATGGCAGAACTTTAAAAATATACTTGTAATTTCCAGGTCAGCTCCATGTCAATTATTTTGCAGCGTAATTGTGTTCTCAGTCTATATTTAGCGAGCAAAGTGGGAATTCCAACAGTTCATGATGTCAAAAATATGTTTGAACTGAGTTATCTCCAGTTTCTTTTCAACAAAACAATCTGAAATAATACACAGTTCTTAACAAAAGGAATTTGAGATGTATTCATGTGCATAACAAAATAGGTACACATTGTTACGTATGTGGTGAAAATTGAATATGCAAATGGAAAATTGGGTGAGTGGTAGAGCCAGGGCCGGATTTAGTGACAGACGGGGCCTCCTCAAGGATGGGCCCCCCCAATTAAGATTAAAAAAAAACAAATTTTGACGGGTCAACAACTTTAATATTTTTCCTCCCAAACATTTTTTTTTGCATTGTACTAAGAAACGCCACTCCCAGGAGAGGACCTGCTGGAACAAGACGAAGCGCAAGGCGAATTTCAACTATGGAAAGGTTAGTTTCCACACGCGGGAGCCAGAAACCTACTTACGAAATTCTTGTGGACAAGAGAGACTAACCGGGTTGGACCTAATGACAATTCACAAAGATGTCATCGTCCCAACTGATGATGTAATGCTTAACTGGTAATTTGAGGTTTATAGTAAAAAAAACGAATGTGTTAGTACAGTTTTTCAGTGGGGGGCTTTTCCCATGCCAATGTAATGGTAATTAATTAAATTTGAATCAGCAGACATTTTTCATTGAGACCCCCCGGAACAAAAATCTGGGGACGGCCTTGTGATGTTCCATTCTGATCAGTTGGCCTTGAAACATTTTCATATTCTCATTGATATATTACATAGGGGTTCTCCATTTATAAATAAATATGTAAGGATCAAACTGCGTTGGTATCGTGAACAATCCCAAGCAAAAATAGCGATCTTAGTAACCGCACGCTTGCCCATTAGAAAATCCAGAATCCTACTCCGAATAGATGTCTTTGGCAACACTGCCGACTGCCGAGACGACACAAACGTTGATCGTGCTACCGGTGAACATAAGTTACGATTTTAGCACGTGCGACAAAGCGCCTGCTAGTCGTGTTCCACGATTTTCGCTGATCTAGCCTACTTTAATAAATCTCATTTGTTTGTTTATCCACTCCTCCTTTTTATCTCGTTGTGCGTTGACTATGAGTTTGTTAATTGTCAGACCAGTGGTTGATCACGAAAACCGTCGAATCAGCAGAATTGTGGCGACAGTTGTGTCGTCTACAAACTACCCATTCAATTTCAATGCTTGCGAATTCATCGGATTGTAGAATTGGATGATAAGCCGATTAGAAAAATGTATGCGTTTGTCGTAAACTTCGCAGCAGAAATGTTTATACTAGCAACTGTCTAAACTAGATATCAAAGATATGAGGTTGGCACGACTAAAAAGATTTTTAAAAGAACGTGCTATGTCGATGGATGTCACGAATCGACAATTTTGTATACAAATTAGCAAAGGCGTCGCCAACGGGGGGCAGGGGAGGGCAGTTGCCTCCCTAGAAATCAAATGTAGCTAGCCGCAAAGCCACCAAAGTGTGAGCAATTGACTTCCTTACCTATTGATAAATTCCGTATCGCATGACAAAACGTAAATTAATTTACAAGGTTTAATGTATACAGGGCTTTTCATGATGGGCGTTAATTAGCTGTTTCTGACAAACTATTTAACGGATCAACCTGAAAATTTCACAGTATGCATAAGTCAATATGACCTACACGCCTAAAATATTTTAGACGAAGCGGCGTTGTCGCTTCTACTATAAAG